GTACTGGTTTCTTCCTGAGAAATAAAAATGTAGCCATTCGACAACCGAACACTAAGTTCGAGTTTCGGTAAGTTTATTTAACAAAACACTTCTAGGTATTGAGTCAGAAGCAGATGTGTAATCTAGGAAGGCGCAGCGGACATCTTTTCCGTGATTGCTATTGACTGATAAACTGGAAGTAGTTTAAGAGTGTGTCGACTAGGAGTCTAACCTCAGAATTCTACCACTGAGCCACCGATGCTGTAGTTGAAGTTATTTCACATGATGGTAGCTAGCATTGCAACCGATGATGCATGTTTTGTCTTATTTGTCACTCTTCATCAGAATATACCTTCATCCACAGTAGGTGAGGATTTTCCTACGGAGACTTGAAATCGACACAAGTGCATCCAGCTGATGATTCCCAGATAGGATTTCATTACTAAGCACCATCAACTTAATAACATTATGTGTACCTCAAGTTATCGTTAAAACGTTTGTACTAGAATTTTATGATAGTAAGGATTGAGCATTTCTGTCCAGTAGAACTACTCAACAGTCGAAGTTTATTAGTGATTAATTTTCAGTAAGTTAAATATTACATGTGAAGTAGTTCACAAAGGAAAACTCAGAGGAGCGTCTGAAGTGAAGACAAAAGTAAGACAATGATACCTACCATCACCCATAATATTCCTAATAGTGGTGATGCAACAGATAGGACTTCAGGTGAACATAGAGAAAACAGAGGTGATGAAGATTCCTGGCCAACGGCAACAGCAACAGTAACAGACAACAATCATCCAGTATAAATGGGAGAAATCTGAAAGAAGCAACCTCCTTTACCTACCTACCTACCTGGGAAGTATCGTTTCAACTACAGGCGGACGGAACTGACGAGGATATCAAAGCAAGAATCGGAAAAGCAAGACAAGCTTTCACTACTCTCAAGTCTGTGTGGAGGTCAACAGCACTCAGCATCAAAAATAAGATCCGGATTTTCAACTCCAATGTGAAGTCAGTGCTACTATACGGATCAGAGACTTGGCGCGTCATAAAGAGCATCTCGAACAAACTACAAACCTTCATTAACAGTTGTCTTCGCTCAATACTCAAGATCAGATGGCCGGCCAGAAAAGATCAGCAACAGGGATCTCTGGCAATGAACGAACCAAACCAGCAGGAACCGACTGTGCAACAAATGCACATGAAGAAATGGAGCTGGATTGACCATACTCTGAGAAAACAAACCATCAAGTGAGTGACATCACACGCCAGGCTATTACTCGAGTGGAACCCGAATGGGAAGTGGCGAGTTGGTCGTCAGTGCGAGGGTGACATGGAGGAGGAGGTGATTCGAAGAGGAGATGAAAGCATGTAAGAAGACGTGAAGCCAAGTGGAAACGTTGGCAGAGAACCGAAGGCAATGGACACGTGAGGCTGAAGCCCTATGTTCCTCTAGGAATTTAAGGAAACAGTAATAATAATAATAACAGACCGTGTTGGTGGGGGGCGGTCAAGAGGACAGGAATACGTCGAATTGATAAGAAGAACCAAGAAGATTTGGATTTCGCGGACGATTGATGTTTAGTGTCATACGAATTCAAAGATCTACAGGGAAAAACCAACTCGCTGGCAGAAGAGGCAGCCAGCGATGACAAGGTTTCAAGTGGACATAGAGAAGATAGGGGTGAAGAAGATAACCAACCGACTAACTCTGCAAATTCGAAAGATATCTTCTCTTTCACTTATCTAGGAAGCATAGTTTTAACCACAGGTGGTGGCACAGATGACGGTGTCAAAACCAGACAGAACCGGAAAGGCAAGGCAGACCTTCATTGGAAATCTTCTGAACTCGGCATAAACAGCTACATTCACCACTAACAGGCTGCTGTAGACTTTTATCAACAGCCGCCTTCACAGACTCGATGTTGAAGATCAGGTGGCCGAACAGAAAGGCTTAGAATCATGGAACTCTGACGACAAACCAAACAAGAACCAATTGCTCAACAAATATGTAGAGGAAAATATAGAGATGGATAGGGGACACGCTCAGGAGACAGCCCGAGTAACATCCGGGCTAGGCCCTCAAGTTGTACTTGAGCGGGAAATGAAGAATTGGGTCATCGAATTTGGGCTAAAGTGGCTGAATACTTACTTGATGGGTTCGGTTTCGTAACCTCAAGGTTCTGGATTCATTTGGATGCACACTGTTGAAGAGATCAGAACTAGAGCGAAACAGCTCGCTGTCTAATACTCCTTGGTTTGCAATGATTCTCTAATTCCTACTGATTATTGACGTGTACGCCAAGTGATTATGTATAGGTTACCTGCATGGTGTTCTCTGAACGTTAAGAATCATTGGCTGAAGACTTTTAATGGCATGATTCAAAATTGTTTTCAGCGTCTTAGATGTACTCATTCTTTACACGATATTCTCTAATTTTATTCTGTCCACTGCGTTTCATTAATCCGAATTAGTGAAACTGAATGAAACTGCTAATTTTATTCCACTTCTAACTGGAAATTAGATCATTTCTGAATTGAAGCGCTTTTTTGTCCTCACACCCGATCTGCTGTACCCTATTGGTCACGACTTCCCACTAGGACAAATACTCGCCGAAGACATTGACTAGCGGTTGCGCTATATCGTGAGTTGGCAGAAGTTAGAATTCATGGGCTGGCCATTGGATTGCGTCCCATTGAGTGGCTTAATGGTCTACGAGCTAGCTCGCCAGCCTTGTAACCAGAAGGTCCTGGGTTCGAGCCCCGGTGGGTGCGTACTGATGAAGAGTCCCAAACTGTGCTGACGAAACAGCCATCCAGTACTGCCAGGCTTCCCAGTGGTTTTCTAACCAATGTCAGCTCATGATGAAATCCTGTAACCATTTCGTCCTATGTTGGATTCATCAGTTTGATTCACTTGCAGTCCTCAGTGAGTGATAGCGCATAGTGGATAAGGCTTCAGCATATGAAACAATAGGTGCAGGGTAAGAATCGCAGTTGGAACATCATTCATCATTCATTGGGGGATGTGGGTGTGTCCGGCTGTTAAGTCCCAAATAGGACAAAATGCGAATCACAATCGACCGAAATAACATCACAGTATTGTTTAGACATTGTCGAAACGTCCGACGTTTCATAAGGGACCGTTCATTTCGGCCTAATACAATCAATACATAGGAAATCCCTTTATCATTATTCAACTAATAACAGAATACCCGAAAACACTTTTGTTTTTATAATGTAAACAGAACACGTGAGTTGCTATGGTAATGATCAATGCATTCAATATTATTATGAGTCAGTTACATATAAGCATAGAAGGGTGTCAGTGTTTGGCTGGTGGAATGCACGTAAGCCACGTAGACGTGTTCGATTCCTAGTCGATGCACACCTAAACTTCACACTGAACTGGTAGAAAACCTAGTTATGAGGGAAAATCGGATGTGAGGTTGGCGACACCACTGAGTAAAAGGGAAATACCAGTGCTACTGAAACGTCAAAGGCAAAGCTTGAATCCCTACATTCCACCCAGAACTCAAAGCAATGAAAAACAAGTACAAGTTGATAGTGACTTATGATGGAAGCCAGGATGCGAATTTCGGTTGGTTGCATTCGAGACTCGTCAGCTGGATGTGACTGGTAACTGGTGCTCCTATGGATACTCATACACAGTATCCAACGTTCCAAAACGGCATAACGTTATCCGTTAGGACATTCATTAGTCTAAAGAGAGATTTAGGGTCTAAAAACAAAGGATTTGGATTCGAGTCCCAATGGGAACATCATATCTAATTCACTGGGAATCGCAGGTACACATCCAGTTGACGAGTCCCGAGTAAGATGAAACACGCGAACTGAATTCCACTGCTAACCACCATGAATCAACTTAAAAGAATGCCCATGTTACCCTTAAGGTATCAATGAAGCCTACGATCCAATAGCATATATAACCAGTCCTATTATATAGATAAATATGTATATTCAACCTGCTGTATCCTATTGGTCACGGCTTCCCACTAGAACCCCAGGTTAACTGCCTGAATAGGGCCAGTCACTAGTAAGCATCAGATTAATTTTCAAGTATTGGTTTTGTAGGGATTTTGTTCGAATGCATGTAGGATTTCATCATGAGCTGACATCAGTTAGAGAACCACTGGAAAGCCTGGGAGTACTGAACAGCTGTTTCGTCCTAGTTTGGGACTCTTCATCAGTACGCACCCACACTGTTGGGTTCGAACCCAGCACCTTCTGGTTACAAGGCGATCTCGTAGACCATTGAGCCACTGGGAGCCGATCCAATGGTCCTTGAATTCTAACTTCTGCCAATTCACGACATAGCAGTTAACCTGGGGTTCTAGTGGGAAGCCGTGACCAGTTGGGTACAGCAGGTTGAAGATAAGGCAGTAACTCATCGAAGAAGACATTGCGAAATATGTATATATTTGATTATGAAAAAACCAAATCAATAACCTTTGGAACAGATCATTTTTTTTTTGCTTCTTTCAAATAAGAACCGGGATGTTTTGAATTTCAATTTTGCATAAATCATAAATCACAGTGTAGAATGGTGTTTGTTGAACAGGTTAGTGTGTGGGGGGGGGAGGAAATAAAGGCAGTAAAAAGAAGAGGGCTGGGGTGCACCGGTCATTAAAATTACAAACAAACAAAAAAAATTGAGGAAAACAAAAATGAAAATATTATTTATATATGTTGATATATGCAAAAAAAGAGAAAATAATGTATCCGAATGAAACAGTATTCAGATGATAGAGATGGTTGACTTTTATCATTCGGTCGATATCCAATAATCAATAGTCACCGGTTGATTTGTATGAGTACTACTATTGTTGTTATTACTACTGGATAATGAGGTGTTCTTTAAGCTAAACTGTGTTGCACTCATTGGTTGATAGATATTCTGAGGATAGAAATGACTTCCTAGCTCGTTAAATTCATAACTTTGAGAGTTGATACTCCCAATACTACTATTACTACTGCTAGTAATACTGTGCTATTACTAGGATGCATCATAATCTCTGAAGGCTTTTCATTCTCTTCTCTCCTTTCTACAAGATTCTCTTCATTCCTATCGATTTCTGATAGCAAGGATGTATGCGATAAACACTGATTTGACCAATTATTATTATTGGCTGAATGTAGGCTACACGCTTCTTTCTCATTGGTTTGTTCAGCGTCAAGGTCATCACCATCATCACCAAAGTGACCAATCATTTTCGGTTGAATTTGATAATTTGATTGATTTAAACAACAATTTCCTACTGGAGTTGATTGATTCATATTTGAATTTAAAACAAAATCAATATAATCAGTAGATTTATCAGTGAATTGTTCATTAGCAATCAATTGATGTTGACTGTTATCAAAAATTTCATAAGTATTAAAGTATTGAACCTGTGTATGTTGTTGTTGTGGCTGATCCTGGTGTTCACGATAATGATTACTGCTCGAATCGAAAATCTCCATTGATAGATCATTTATAGGATAGTGTACAGTGTAAGCTGTAGATGGTTGATGTACAGGCGTTGCTGGCTCATTAGTTGTTGTTGTAGTCCAAATATCATAATCCATCTGACATGGATTACTGCCAGGCATTAGTTGGGTTTCGTTAGTGCTACTTATCGATTGTGCAACTCCATGGCTAGGTGTAGAATAAACAGACTGCTGATAGCATTCAGATCCTGTTTCATATGTGTTTGAATTTCTGTGTGTAATCGGATCAAATTCAGTAGTATACCCTGGATTTATTATTGATTGAGTGTATTCGTCATCATTATCACAACAGTTCACAGCACTTTGATCAGTACCTATAGAATATAAGTGAATATAATTCACCTCGTGTATAGAATGATGATTATAGTTCAGGGAATTCGGTGAATTCGATGAAATCTGATAATAACCAGGATGCATATCGAAAGAGTTGGGTACAGTTTGATTATACAGTGAAGACGAGAAAGGTAGTGATGAAGACGATGAAGGAGCACCACAGGAAGACGACAGGATGATGATGATGACGAAGAGGCGGACAGTACAGATGGTGATGAGGGCCAGTTGGGGGAACCTACTGGCCCATTATTATTATTGCTGTTATTGTTGGCATACATATCAGTCGGTGTTGTTGTTGTTGTGTTTACTTCAGTCGTTGGTAGATAACATTCTAATTCCGTCGAAGAATTCCATGTTGGCATCGAACTGTGAGGATTTACTGGCATAGGAAGGGGTGGTGGCATCGGTGGCGGTGGCGTAACAGCCATAGAATCCCCTGAGTACATCTGATTCCCCATACTTGAATGAATACCACTATTCTCTTGTTTGTTGTAATGATCTACTAACTGGGTCGATGTGAAATATCCTTGATCATTGGAT